ATATATATATATATGAAAAATTAGTATTATGTTAAATCAACTTAGTAAAATGTCTGTGGTTTATTTTGTGTTGTTTTTAGAAATTATATAGAAAGCCATTTGGCAAAGGATAATGGTTACTTTGCTTGACTGTTCAGCTGTGAATGCATTGCTGTGATCACTGAAAAGGAACCATCATTAAAATTGTAAGTTTTGTTTTTTTCCTTTGGATCTGGCAAATATGTAGACTAGTTATGAAAGTGTTACAAACAAAGGCTATCTATGAAAAATTTTTTACTTGTTCTCATATGTGTGAAAGGCACTACATGACAACAATACTGTGATTTCAAGGGCCCGTTCACACCAGATGCAGCCTTGCCCAGCACAGTCATAACACGTAGAAAAGCAATTTGCCTCTTTTACTTTTTAGTCAGTTCATACCATTGCGTTGCAGTGATGTGCTCTGAGAAAAAGGATTATATGCAGTACTTTTTCACTGTAGTGTGTTGCAATGCACTACATTGTATCACAATATACTGGGGTCAAAAGATCTGTGAATGGATGACATGGCTGTATGGGTGGAGCCACAAACAGCAGTGCTGAGTTCAAATTTGTAAATAAGACTGAATAGAGGATAACTCTGTGATTTAGGTAAGGAAGGGATGGCAGAGAGGGGTGGGCAGTTTGTGATTTGACCATGTTTCATGTTGCACCCTAAATATGATTGTAACATGAAACATGGTCAGGAAGGTAAACATAGCCTTTATGAAAGGAATAAAGATTGTTCAAATAGCATGTCTGTCTCATAGTAGATTATAGGGAACTTGTGAGGACATGAATATGAGCCCTGTTATTGCTGCCTTTTTTTAAAGGTGCAAGTTTGCCATTCTTATGTTGATGTTGCAATGTAGTACGTCTCTGACCAGGGATAAGCATGCAGCCAGTGATGTCTGACCTCTTGTCATTTATGCTTGCTTCAGGTCATTAATTTACTAGGTAATGAAGTCAGGATAAGGATAACAGCCTGGAAGCATGCAGTTTTAAAGTCAGCAACTCCATCTGTCATGCTTTTTTAAACTATATTTCTATCAGTGCGAATGGTGAGCCAAGTACAACATCCTATTAACTAGCAAAATGTGCCCATTTTGGCACAGTAGGGATAGGGGTTGTAATTAAATCTCTAATATATGTAATGTGATTGTCTTTGCAACATCAACTGAGAAGAAAACACCACTATTAAGTAAGATAATCACAGACCATTTATATGAGATAAAGGAGTGCTGCATGTTCTTCTAACATATAACTATTATTAGGCTCATTAGCAACATAAAGGAGAAATAGAGGGTTAGGAAAGATGCCCTAATTCTGTTTTAATGAACTTACAACACAAAATTATAAAAACATGCATCACTCCTATTGACGTCTTGTGGATTGCTGGGAACCCCTAATTATATGTTTTCCAAAGCATACCTTGTGCTTTTAAAGTACAACTGAAGTCAATTTTCTTTATTAGTTTTGGATAGAATAAAGAGGGATTAGAACCAGGGGCATCCCGAGGCTGGGTGACACCCGGAGCGGTTACCATGTGTCACCCCGCCGACTGTGCATATGCGTGACATCACCAGGCGTGTGCGCGATGACGTCATCGCGCACGCGCTGCACTCTTCTGATACCTGCCGGTGGCCATCTTGGTGATGGACGCCGGCAGAGAGAGGAGGGGACAGTCTCTCCTGATACTGTCGGGCGTATAAATTAATGAATATTTGGTTCTGATGCGGATCTGATTTAGGTATAAGCAGGGTTACAACTTTTGCCTACATTTAGGCTTTTCCTTTTCCCTTTTTCTTGAAAAAGTTATTAGGTGTGCTTGTTTATAATAATATAATCTTGCTGATGAAAGTCATTGAGTCACTTTTAGAGTGTCTGCTTTACAGCTGATTTTCAAGAGAGGTGGAATTTCCCCCACAGATTGGGACCTTTCTTCTTCTCCAAGACTGATCAGTATAATGTATTTGCACCAATGCAAAGTTAGCATTGTCACTGAACTCCAAGGCAGATTTAGCATTGTCACTAGAAACCAATGGAAAGTTAGTATTGTCATTTAACACCAAATCAAAACTAATGTTGCTACTGATTAGTTTTGCAAAGTGAGTTTTGCACAAACCACCAAAGCAATCACAGGTTTCCCATAAAAAATGTAAACTTTATTGTTTATTATTTTATGTATTATTGTATCTACAATTCACTGATTACACCAATATACCATTAGCTGTACTCTACATTTTTTTATCCAGGGTTCAAACCAAGTGAAAATACTGAGAAAGGCTGCTATACGGTGTCACTTAAGAGTCTGATGGGACTGATTACATCACATTTAAGATGGTGGCACCCAGCAGCAGTCCCAGAGACCCAAAATATTACATTTGAGATATGGTGTGCATGTCGGATATAAAACTTTCAGCTAATAAAGTTTATCAGATATGGGCAAATATCCCTCTCAAAACTACAACATTCCAAAAGTTATGAAGGTGGAGGTGACTTACGTGCCATCTTGACGTGTTATGGTGTAGCCATATTTTGGATATTTCACAAAAGATACATTGACACCAACTAAAGGTGTTCCATCTGTGGTCATAACTTGTCCTCTTATTAGTGAGACAAGGCTGGAAAAAATAATACTATTAATACTTAATTATGAGAAATAACAAAATAACATTTGTTATATTTTATGCTATAAATGTATACACGTTGAAAATGTTTTATTATATAGCTAAACTGCTGTAGGATTGGGGATGATACTTTAGAAAATATGGCATTTATTTGTGACAGGCAAATGGACAAGTTATAGTTGATCTATCAGGCTGTAAAAAAGTAACCAGATAAATAAATAAGATATGTGTCTACGTGGATCATGAACACATGATTTCTTTGTAATGGCTAATGAAAGGCAATTAATAGAAAGGTCTGTTTCTTGCAGACACTGCAAAATAGAAGGTAGATAGCTCTAGAGCCATATGTAATCACTTAAAGATAATTCTATATAAGCAGTGATTTCTGACACTGAAACCTCCTGGACTGGCTCCCAGGCTTAGCACAGATGGATCACAATGAAGCATGCCTCACTATAGATAATGGAATCCTTGTCACAAGCCTGCAAATCAATCCCATGCAGTTAGTGTATCAGTCTGTTATACCGTAACATTTTTTCCATCCGTTAACACTATAGCTAAAAAACTGGTGTTATCTTGGCATATCTGTCTTAATTGGAAGTACAGAAATATGTTTATAACTGTAGTAATAAAGAATTTTGGTCTGCTTTAATTCACACCTACATACGAATATTTTATCACCCTCTAATTGCTCAGGCTTAAATTTCTCTTTATTCTATTTCCTCACATAATGATCCAGGGAAGCAATGCTGTTTTCTCTTGAGAGATGAAAACTATCACTTTATATTTCTTTCTTTAGGAAGTTAAGTAGAAGTTGATGGTGGAGGAAAGTGTGGTGCTGAGCTGTGGTGCAGCTTTAAGAGATCATTATGTTCTCCTGAGTCCTGACTGATCTCAGTTGACCTTGGACATCAGACTGACAGTTCAAAACCCTCTGCAGGATGTGTCATAGCCTCGGAAAATGGAATCTTAACCCCCTGACTCAGTTACATAAATACCCTGACTGCCTTAAGAGGTAATACTGCAAAGTAATACGTCGAACAATGGTCATCATGATAACACTGTTACTTATAATAATGTATTGACTTATCTTTAATATTCTATGTAACAATAATGTAATGAAGAATAAAATATATAGGGGGTGAAATAGTGGGCTCATTCACACCATCTGCGTTTGGGCTTTGTTGTTTTATCCAGTACAGCCTGAATGCAAGACATGGCAATTTGCCCTGTTATAGGAGGTGACAATTCACACCACTGTGTTGTGAAAAAAAAATCATGCCATGCAGTAAATTTTTTAGGCACAAGTGAGACACAGTACAACCCCATTGCACCACCGTGAGCCCATAGAACTTAATCAAAGTGACATTTCAATAAAGTTCTAACAAAAACAGGAAACGGAGAGATACACCTTTATGAAATGCATTGGCACTGTCTGGGCATCCTCACACCAGTAGCCGTGTGGTTGAGTGCAGCTTCTGGAGTGAACAAGCCCAGATTAAAAATCAACACTATTCGGTTTAATAACATTTCATTTGCATTTAGTTTGCAAGTTCTACTGAGACTTAAAGCATCTTCATATTGTTATTGGCAAATTAGCTCGGTTTCGCTAGAAAATACAACATCTCAAATAATAGGTAACATAGTAGTTTAGTGACTTTTATTGTGACCTTGGAGCTCAAGGGTGCTCTGTCCAATCTGGGCACAATATGCATGGCACATGTATATTACTTCATGTATATATGTGTACATACCCTGGACACTACAGCTTCCTAATACACTTAGGAAATAAGTTTCTGTCATGATGACATATCTTGTGAAAGTAGTACCAATTAATGAATACAGTAAAGGTGTAATTTTTCAAAGTAATTTTTGTACATAATCTCCCCATATTTCAGTGTTGTTCTTGGAAATGGTATATGTGACACTGCTTATGGAAAAGTAAACCTCTATCATTAAGCAAAGAATGAGATGCAAGTGGGGATTGGTCAAAATCATCCTACAAAGATCTGGCTACATTCAACTGTTGAATACTAAAGCTGGCCATACACCTGCATATTTTCTATGGTCAGATGGAAAAAGAGCAACAGATTCCTCCATCTACGCTAAACTGTGTGGATGGAGGAATCTCCCTTTGGGCCAAGCTTCAGTGTCTTGCTAGTCAGCCCTGCTGGCTTTCAAAATACTTCAACAATCTGATTGGATGTAGGCATTGTTCAGGTATCTTTGTGCCTGCTTTGGTAGGTAATGAAAGATAAGAGGAACAGGTGGGAAGCAGGTGAGGCAGCTGTCAGCTGGAGTACCGTAAGTAAGGGATCCATAGCAGTCATCTGATAAAATACAACTGTTTTTTCCTTCATGATCTGTTACATCAGGTGTGTATGTACAGGGGTGGTCCCTAGAAATTGAATTATTACATCTTCTTTTGTTTATGACCTCTCTGAGAATTTTCCACATTGTACATATAGGGAGGTTGTGGAAGCTTAATGCAAGAAGAGCCGCTCATAATAAGATGCTTTCATGTAAACTCTTTGAGTCAAATTGAAAATAGAATGTGACTGCAACTTTATGATAGTATGCATAAAAATATGTAATCATTAGCGTACTATGAGCAGAGAAGTAGCGCTGGCTCTCAGGTAAAAAAAAAAACACTGACTCCATTGATCTTTTAAGCTGTCTTAAAGGGGACATTATTCCCCTTGACCACTAATATAAAAGGGCATTCTTTCCACCAACCACCAATGTAAAGGCCATTCTTTTTCCCACTGATCACCATTGAAAGGTGTATTCATATACTCATTGACCACCAATGTCAGAGGGCACTCCTTATTTCACTAACTACCAATGCAAGGGGGCCACTTCTTCCACTGAACATCAATGTTAAGGGAAACTTCTCCACTGACCATCAATGTAAGGGGGACATCTTCCACTGACCATCAATGTAAATGGAAACTTTTCCACTGATTTCAATGTAAGGGGACACTTCTTTCACTAACCATCAATGTAAGGGGGCACTTCTCCACTGACCACCAATATATGAGGACACTTCTCCACTAACCATCAATGTAAGATGTTTAGTTTTTCTTCTGACCATTGCTATTATTTGCTTCAGTGATTATCACTTTAAATACTTTTGTTGTATAAAAGGAGGGGCTGTTTAAAAACTATGAACTCCAAGTGTCAATTATGATAGTTACACCACTGGATGTTTTTTTATGAGTAAATATTGCAGCATAAAACAAATACTTAGTGCATTTTAGTGTAAAATTCATAAGGATTTAGCTTTTAGTATTTGCTATTTACAGTATTTTTGGAGAAAGCATCACAGCTGGTAAATTAATCTTCTTTTAAATACATATGATCCTCTAAATCTGTAATAATCTTTCTATTTTGTACCTGCTGTTGAATGGATTTTCTCCAGGAATTATGTGCGTACTGTCTTTTCCAACAAGGAGTTTGATGCGGTCATAAAACGACTTTACTGCTGGTGAGCCTGCCTGGCTTTGCTGGATGATATCAAGAGGATCACGTGATCCACGGCAGAGTAAACTTGACTGGCAAGTTGTTTGTAGACAACAATCTGGGTCCAGACAGTCCACAAGTCCATCTAAATAGGGAGAGATAGATATGAATATTAATACATACAGCAGATGTACATAAAGCACAGCAAACGGGATCTTTCATAATACAAGAGTCAGACTGGGCCCGATTTACTATCATTTAAAGAAAGGTGTATACATGTCCTGTATACATGTCAAACAACCAATCACAAGCAGAAGGAGAGTTTGGAAAACATGGAGTTTCTGCATGATGTTGGACATTTGGTGTGAACACAATTTTACTTTACCTCACCCTAATAAATCAGACCCTTTCCAAATTCCTAATTATTTTGTGACTCCATGTATTGTATGCAATCCCCCACACTGTTTTGAGGCTGATATTAGGTTACTTTTTATTAAGTATTTATTGTTATGAAGTAACTATGGATTTCTACATTTTACTTTTTCTTAAAGAAATGATGTGTCTTAAAAAAGTATTCAGGGCAAAGCAACAGCCCAACATATACTAATTTGTCTATGCTCCCCTGCTCTGCTTAGCACTGTAACAAAGAAAATACCCAGCACTTCTTTGTATGGAGTGCTCACAAAAATGTGACAAAAGTGGCTGGGTTGTCTCATGCCCTGTGTAATCTGTGACTTGATGTTAAAGGGGGAGGGCTAAATTAACCTGCACATGTTACTTTGCCCGTGTTCACTTAAATGAGAATCTGTCATCTACAAGAAAAAAAACTAGAACATGCAACATTTCACTTAATATCACAGCATACAAGATAATTCACACTAGACATGACTATGCGCAGAGTATACAGTTACGTATATACAGAGCTTTACAATTTCTATGAAGCTGTTTGCAAAGATGTCAGAGATTAATTTAAAGGAGCTAAAAATTGACAGTTTTCTACTGCTACATGTGACAAATTGTCTTTAAAGGAAACCTATGACTAGAAAAACATGTAGGCTTTTATTCCTGAATTCTACTGAGAATATTATTTGTCTATCTGTAGTGATGGTCTATTGTATTCAATTGCCACTAACTCAGAGAAAGTCTGCATCAACAGGAATTTTGACCTTAATCTGACTTTTCTAGCCCCATACTTATTCCCGGGCAGTGTCTCAGAAAAAAAATTAAACCAGAGATAGCCAGGCAACTAGTATTTCAGAGGGAAGACAGCAAATGCAGTGTCATATTTCTCTCAGTATAGGTTTCATTTATAAACAAAAATAATATCTTAGACAAAAATGAGCAGCTATCTGGACTCACAGAGCACAATCCCATCTCATTCTTCTAGAACAAGTTAGAGCATGGCAGAAAACGTTTGATTTGTTTTAAAGAGCAATCCAGGCACTATTTTTAAATGGTCAAATAGCCGGGCATGCCATTTCTTGGTGTTCTTTTGTTTTTATGGATTTCTTTATGTCATTTAAAGATTGGGAAATTAGATTGTCTTTTGTCATTATCATTTAGATATCTGTACAGTATTTCGATGCACTATGTCTTACATGGGATTTAAGAAAACAATATGTTACATTCAGTATGGTACTTTTAGAGCCTGTGTACATAAGATTTTGTTTGTATCAGAACTGCCTCTCTCTCTATGGGAATGCGAAGGGAGCTTGAAGCAGGATTATACACCTTCAAGGAGGTCAAATGCAGATAAGAAAAAGGTCAGCTGCAGGAAAAATGCATCTGTCAATGTACTCATAAGTGTCTCAGACTGATGTCAAATGCAAGCTTAAAGTAGAACTCCATGAATGGAAAAATTAACTCTTGCAGTTCGACGGTAGCCCGTTTTGGTCTAGAGGCTAAATTAAAGAAAATATACTCACCTGATCCTTGGTCCTGCTTGGCTGGTGAACTCTTCTTCTCCAGGCTCCAGCAGTCTAAGGATTCATGACATCATCATGTCTAATGCAATTGCATTACACAAGAGGACACCAAGGGACATTCCACTGCCAGAACGGAGGGGGAGAGGTAAGCACTTACCACTCCAGAACTGAGGATCAATTTAGTATATCTGCTTAATTTTAGCCCCTAGACCAAAAATGAGCAGATAACCCTTAACTTTAGGGATGCACTGATACCATTTTTACAAGACCGAATACAAGTACCAATACTTTTCCTCAAGTACTCGCCAATACCAATTACTGATCCCTTCTTTTGTGTCATGTGACAGTTTTTGTAAAACAATACAGACTAATTATTTTAGGGCAGTGGTGAAGTGCCAGGGCCCAGTCCCAGCTGCAACCGCTGTGACCCTGGTAGTTCTGCCACTGACTCCAAGCTGTAGAGGGACTACAATGCTCAGCAATACAGTATACAGCAATGCCAAATATTATCAGCTATAGAAGACTACAAATCCCAGCAATACCTTATACAGCAATGTCGAATGGCACCGGCCATAGAGGACTACAAATCCCAGCAATACATTATAAGGCAAAGCAGAATAATGTCAAGCTACATACTCTGTGTTTCTCTAGGGTGGCAACCTGATGTCTCCAGGATCTCAGGTGGGCTGAACGGGGTCTCAGGTGGGTTGTGCAGGATCTCAAGTGGGCTGCGTGAGGTCTCACGAGGGGTCTGGATGGCCTTGCAGGTGGTTGCGGGCAGCAGAAGCACTGTAAGCAGTGCTGCATGGTTCCCCAGTAAGGAGTAGGCTATATGCGGCCGACGCTGTAAACAGGCGCTGCGGTACCTCAGGCAGCCAGTTCCATTAAACATTTTGAAGCGTTGGTAATGGAATTAAGTATCAGGGAATTTTAACGACTTGGAGTTCATCTTCATTCATTTGCCCATCAGTACAGACCCAAAACCCATCGACAAAGCCTTTTAAACTGGCGAATATAAACATTTCCAATACACCCTCTCCAGGTAGCTATTTAATTCCTAATAAACATGATAGAAAATGGTTGCCATACAGCTCCCACTGATGCAGTATGAAGTAATGGCATACAAATCTCAGCAGGCCACTTCTTTTTTAAATTGGCCACACTCTAGTTTTCATAACTTAGGTATCCAAAAACTGTTTCTTACGTTGATAAATGTTCTTCTGAACGTCAGATTCCAACAGCTGCATACTACCAGCCACACTGACAATACCAAACTCTCTTACCCATGTCCTGCTGTGTTCCTTTAATTCTAGGGCAGATCAGAAGTTCTCATCAACAAATCCCTTATTACCAAATTAGGGAAATTAAAAGAGAGGCACAATCACTGTCATGAAAATTGTATATCATCCTCTTCGAGCCAATAATTTAAATTAAGATATTCTTACCACTGGCGGAGCAATCATTTGAACATTCTGACTATGTAATTGTTTTGTTTTTTTGTCTTTGTCAGACTAAGGTACCAATTTATAGAAGGTGAAAATTGATATTTTTTCATTTTCTTTTTAAGGGAACTATTGATTGTGGCAGTTTTGCCTATTTATAAAGCTGTTCTATGCAATTAATTTACTTTTATCATAGTGCAACAAAAGTAAACATAATTTAGTTAAATAAATTATATAGCTATATTTGGCCAATACATTAAAAAGATTTACTGCTTTTGCTGGAAATTTCATGTAAAATCAATGTGCTGTGATCTGTAGTTTCTGAGTCTTCACATCAAACAGGCATATTCTCTTTTGTGGTTTTGCTGCTCAGTGGAGAAGTATTAGGAGAGTAAAATGTATTGAAGGTGTCACATGCCAGCTCTATGGATCAAGAGCTGAGTGATCACATATCTTCTCCCTGCAGAGAGTGGTGACTGTCAGTCACTGCTCCCCATAGGGATTACCTCCTCAACTCTCTGTTCCTCCTATGAGGGACAGACAGGGGAGTGGGTGGGCACAGCTAGCTCTAGCTCTAGAGAGGAAGAGCCAGCTGTCAATCAGGCAGCAGGGTGGATCCTGACATTAGTGTCAGGATCTTTCCCAGCTGCAGCGTGGCCCTGCTCTGTCAGCAAATAGCGGACAGTATCCCACTATCTGCTGTCACAGGAGTGTATTAGTAAATGTAATCTTTTGACCTAAAAGAGGACTTTAGACAAAAAAAGGGTTTGGCTTTAGTTCTCTTGTCACTGCAGAATGCCATCCGCATCACCAGTGTTGGGCGCTTGCGCTGGAAAATCAGGTACTCGTTGTGCAAGGGGTTTTGTGCTGCTTAACACATTAAAACTATTTATACACTTTATACAGATTAAAGAGGCAAAAACCAAGCACTGGCCAAAACAGGTAGAGAACATGCATAAATAAAATCACAACTCTGTTAGAGTTCCCTCTTGCAGGACAAATGCCATCCTCAACCTAAATTATTATTTCGTTGGAGAGACACCAGAGAAAATGCATTAAAGCAACTCTGTTGACTCCTAAAAAGTAATACTATTAATTAGAGGTGCACCGAAATAAAAATTTCAAAACCGAAATGAAACCAAAATGAAAAAAAAATGTCAGGCCAAAACCGAAACTGAAACCGAAAATTTTCTTTTTTCTAACTTTTTCAAATTTTAAAAATATGTTATTTTTATTTTTTTATAAACGTTTACATTTTTTATATTTTATTTATTTATTTATTTTTATTCAATATTTTTATAAAAATAATATTTTTTACTTTATAGTTGGGGCTCCGGGAAAATATTAGGGGCCTAAATAGACCGCTGATATTTCCCTTTTAAAGTAGAAAAAGGGATTGAGAACACAGAGTCCTCAATCTCTATTTCTGTATCCCCTGTTATAAATGAACAGGAATCCTCTCTACTGAGTGTTCCTGTTCATTCATAACTTGTGGACATAGTATGTTTACCATGTCCACAATCATGAATGAACAGGAAGTGATGTAGATCACTTCCCATTCATTCATAATTGAGGACACAGTAAGCATACTATGTCCTCAATTATTTACAAACACTCTGCAATCACTGATTGCTGAGTGTTTGTAACCAGTCTCCATCCTGGATCAGCTGTCACAGGAGCCTAAGCGAGTGGTGTGGGAGGAGAGCTCGATCTTAAAGCTGACTCCTCCCCCGCACTGCTGGCTGGCTTTCTGTGTCAGCTGATAGCTGTCTCCGCCCCAACACTGCCGCTCTCCCGATCTGTCACAGGAGGCTGAGCAGTATGGGGAGGAGAGACACTGGCCACTCAGATCGGTCTCCTCCTCCCACACCACTCAGCCTCCTGTGACAGTTTCTCTCCTCCCCACTGGGACACAGAGCAGCGCCCAGCGGGGAGGAGAGAAATCACAGATGCACCGCTATTTCAGCAAAAAATTGCACTTTTGGCATTTTGCTGAATTTTGGTGCATCCCTACTATTAATACTTAGCTGTCTCGCTGCCTGTGCTTTGACTGTGGCTCTCTTGAAGTGCTATGCTGATCAGAAGAAGCTTTTGCCACAGTAGTGACATACGGGCTGGCAGATGGAACTACAGGGTGCAGAAGAGGTCTCAGACAGCATAGCTCTTCAAGAGAGTAATGATTTAAACACAGACGGAGAGGCAGGTACAGTATTGATAAGCTTATTTTACAAGGAATATAGTTTTAAAAACTTTTTATTAGGCAGGTTGTTTTGAGGTGTCATAGTTATTTTCTTTTTTAACAATATTATTTTGCTAATCTGTTGCTTTTTCACCAATTTTTTTACTTCCATGTCCGTTCATAGTTCTCTACATTAAACTTTTAAACTGAAGGACATCCTGCCTATTACTGACCTGGTGAGCCATTTTGTACATTAAAAATGTATATATATTTCATGATGCCGTATTTCAGTGTTTTTTTTGTCTGCTAATGTGTGAAGTTAATTATGGTAAATAAATATGGTTTGAACAATATTCAGAACGGTTTGCCAGTGAGAGAACAGTGGTGGGCACTGACATGAAAGCAGTCTTTGACAGGTTTTTGATATGTGCAAGCAGTGTCAGGAATGATTTTGCTTGATGAAAACCTCTGATAGGTTTTTGTTTCATGTGAGGAGTCTCTGACAGTCTTTTGTTATATATGAATAGTCTGTCACGAGCATTTGTTACATGACATCATTCTATAGCAGTCTCTTGTCACACGCGCTTGTGAATAGTAATACTATTTTATACTCAGTTAGAATAAGCCAACACTGGTTAATCCTTCCTAAATATCTACAGCTACTCAAGGTATGACACATCCATTTGCTACAACAGCATTCTTCCTTTAAAGGTGGGCCTTTGCTCTTACTTCTATTTGTGGTGCCCTGGTATCCTGGCCTTACACTGGTTGCGCTCAATTTATGATGATTGCACACAAACACAGTTATGGGTAAGAAGCACCTATAGATAAAATACAAATAATTGTTCTATAAATATATTTTAACTTGGTTTTCCAAATGCTATTTTGCTACCTTTCTATACATTTACTCTATCTCTCTCCCTTTCTCTCTCTCTCATTCCCAAACTATTTTCTCTACACTGTAGATCACACATCTTAATGACTGAATACAACTTTGTAAGGTGTGACCACCTTCTATTTGACCATATATGTGTCCCATTACACTTTTTATGTCTGTTAGTACTTGTGAACCCATTATTCCATATGACCTCATAGACTGTGGCATGATAATGGGCTTCTGCACACAGGCTCTTCTTTGAAGACATTGCACTTTAAATTGGCACACCAATATCCCAGTGGCCTGTCAGTCAAGAGAATCACATCATTGTGCCAGTGAAGCCCCCTTGAATATAGTCTGACATTGCAATCTCCACTAAATTACCCTGTCACTGCCAATCTTACAGTTATCTTGCAAACAATCAAGCAGGCAATCAAACTACTCAGAAATTGCCAGTTCAAGACTTGGAAGCCTAGTACGTCTCCATTCAATACCTTTAAAAAAGAATATCGCTCCTCTAACATTGGATGAGAGATTCATATATTTTTCATTTCCACCATTATAGAGGGCAGCATTCTTTGACATCTGTATGTACCCTTCAAGACCACTGTGAATTTCTTACACGTCATGTCATAAAGAGTACCAGATATATATTTCTGTAAGAGATGCCAGTTAATAGACAGTAAGCAGGTAGCCTTGTGCATTGTATATGTATTTCAAATACATATAAGAGTACTGTGCTGACAAAAGTGATATTCTCTATCATTGACAATGTCAACTGCCCAGTCCAGGGCAAAGATGGCATGCTATGTCCACCCACCCAGTGCATGTCTCATGAAAGCAATAAAATATTAAAAATGTCCTCAAATAAAATAGGTTGATTTTAGTAATAACAGAATTCACTCACAGCTGCTCCTCTTGTCCCCCTTTGTCCCGACCCTAAGTGTGTACATATTTATATAATATATGTATAACATAACCAGCATTTGTAGTGTGAAGCAGTGAGTAGACATATTATAAAAAACATAAATGTATTATGTGAGTAGTGTGTGTGTGTGTGTGTGTGTGGATAGATAGGTAGATAGATAGATAGATAGATAGATAGATAGATAGATAGATAGATAGATAGAAAATCTACTGCTGAAAACCAGTGGAAGGAAGAAGATGATCTCAGCAAGAGGCATCACATAAGGTAGGTATTAAAAGCAGAATTAGAATGGGGAAAAAAACATGTGACTTTAATGTCACTTTAAGAGCAATAATGGTTGAAAAGGTTCATTTTAGTATGTTCCTATTAATTTGCTTTTCATTTATTGCATATGATTTATTTTTACTTTTATTTCCCTGTTGTAAGATGACTGAGGAGGAATGAGCTGTCAGTGGAGGGTAAAGCAGCCAGGGAGGGATGTCTGTCAGTGGGTTTGGAAAGCTGAGGCTTACTGTCAGTGGGAAATTAGATGACTGGGTTGACTCAACCGGTGGCTGTCACAAGGAATGCGCAGCTCTCAGTATACTGTGGGCTCTGCAGGAGGCGGGGCATCTCATCAGTACCCGGACTAAGTAGGTTGCGGGACATATAAAAAGTGGGGAGAAGCCAGGTAATAGTGGCTCAGTGTGGGGGAAGAAGAGGCACGGGGGTGGTTGGGGGCAGTGCTGAAGCTAGTGGGGCCTGTGTCCCGGGCGCCGCCGGCAGGGCCAGTGAAACAATTAATATTATTACTGGGCTGGGGAGGCGGCACCGCTTCCTCC